TGCTCTTTTACTGAGAATCAGGGCCCGGCAGGAGGTGGCATTTCAGAATTTTGAAAACGATATCCCCTCTGAAGCCAAAATTTCTTACGACTTCCTCTTTGACCCTATTTTTGACCCCCGTAAGTCCCTGACAAACAGATATACACAAATAATAAGATGGGCGGCCTCAGCGCTTATTATAGTACTATAGGGGCCTGCAGGATCGCGAGAGTCGGACGCGCGTACGGCCTTTGCGCCGCGCACGCCTGATATCGCTGGGTCGTAGTCGATTAAGGCTAGATAGGTAAGTTTTTTTGTTTTTCTTTACATTTCACGCCTTCTTTTCTTTTCAGACGGTGAGCACATGTTGGTGCGGAGGAGTTTAAGATCTGAATTAAGGTGAGGTGCAGGATTATGCTCAATACGGACTCAATATTGCAGACCTTCCATGCCTGCTGGTTGAGATGTTGGATTTTCTGTCCTGGCTGCCCTGTTACAGCAAACTGTTCTATTTCTACCGTCTATTCTACCTTATCTTGCATATTGCTTGTGATGATGATGATGATGATGACAATGATTATGATTGTGATGACGCGCATGATGCAAGATGAGGTAGAACAGACGTTGCAAATAAAAGGGAGTTTCGTAACCGGGCAGGCAGGACGAAAAATCGAACATAATCGGACAGCCAGAACAGAAAACTCAACATTCTTCAAAGCAGGGGTGAAAAGTCCACAATATTGGCCCGTATTGAGCATAATCCTGCACCTCACCTTAATCTAGATCTTAAACTCCTCTGCACCAACATATGTTCGCCGCCTGAAAAGAAAAGAAGGCGAGAAATGAGAAGAAAAACAAAAAAATCTCACCTATCCAGCCTAAATCGAGTACGACCCAGTGACATACGACGTGCGCGGCGCAATGGCCGTACGCACGTCCGACTCTCGCGATCCTGCAGGCCCCTATACCGGGCTTTCCTGGTCCAGCCCGGGTCATCAAGGTTTCAGCTCAATGGGTTCATCCGCAAAGGAATCTATAAAAAAACATAAGGATCAAGATTTGCACAAACTTTGACGTTTATATATCTAAGATACTACTCATTTATTAGTCAGCTGCGAAACTTTACAATTTACAATAACCGATTGCGATTGGAGCGCGCTTTCCGAGGCCGATCATAACGCTGTGAACCCTATTTAGGGCTGTATCGAAGCGATGCCTTGGTGGTTTTGGAAGCGGATTTGAACATATAGTAATACTCTCGACCTAGTCCACATTTATGTAAAGAAATCCGGGAAATTATGTGAAGGGAAGCAGGGAGCCACCCCAGGTGGCTCCCAGGTGGCGCGGGAGCCACCTAATTTTGAAGAACACTTACCATTTTTTAAATTCACATAAGTTTCTCATAATTCTTCATACTTTTTTTGTGCTCATGGTCCCCCAACTACACAGGTTTGGTGCCACATCGTTACTTGTGCATTAAAAACGAGCCTATTTTGTTATTTTCCTCTAACAAGAATTGCGAATTGAATTCCCGCCTGCGGGCAGGCTAGCGATCGGAGCACAGAATCTTCACACTGCTGGAATCTAAGTTCATAGGACAGTAGCATCAACAAGGAATGATGAATAAAGAATGATATGTGCATTGTTTATCGGTAAACAAAGGGGAAGTCGTATTTTGGGGTCCGGGGCGGAGCCCCGAACCCAAAATACGACTTCCCCTTTGCTTTTTCGGGCCAAAAACGATATCCAGCTTGTGAAAGCGCCACCCCCGCCGGGCCCTGCTGAGAATTACTGGGAACTATAAATTTCAAGGAACGCTTCCTATATTCTGTAAAAGGATCATCAAAAGTGATGCTTCTATTGTTTTTGGTATACTAGACTGTTTCAAAAGGTCTGTCTGATTTCCACTTGTTGTTTTAACGCAGTTATTTTCTTAGAATTTTGCCCTTGTCGCAGTATTATGAGTACTATCTAGGAGCATTTCTTCGTTCTTTCCAGCGCTTACTAAACCTTGACCTCGACGAAATAGCTTTTCAGCGAGCGAGGATCTTTTAAGCCTTCAAGTTAACGTACCAAAATGCAATTATGCTCAAAAAACCTTTCTATAGCAAGAATTTTGGTAGTGCTTGTAAATTTACCTGTAGGCTGCTGCATGACGAAGGCGCAATATCCTTGGGCGCGAACGCGGCCTTATTAGCCGCAGAGCGCATGAGACGCAAGATTTACAATGGTGAAGATACCTGCTCAAGTAATACAGCTTCTGCGCCTTCGTCATCCAGTAGCCTTTATTTAATGTTTCAAAGTGATAAAGGGTGTAATGGGCTAACTTATGCACACTTTTTCTCCCATATAGAAAATGTCTTACTTTTTGAATTTTTCTTCCAAAAGTTGAAGACAAGCCACTTATTCAACAAGCGACAGCAATCTACGTGTAGTGAAAAGTGATGTATTCAATATTGCTTAGTTAGGGTACAGCGAGAGCAAGCAGGACCATCAGCCAATTAGATTTTTTCTTTCGCGACAGCAAGAAAAAAAAACAAATGTTGAAGAGTCGACATACTTGCACGCCCGAAGGAGGGGTCAAATAATGGCTTGTTTTTATTTGCTCGTAAAAACTTTTAGGCATCAAAGACACTTGCATTCTCTTTAACCGTTATATAATTTCTGAAGTATGGGCTAGTTGTTTATGGCAGCCAAATATGTCTGCCTATCCATAGGGAGCATTAGTATGTCAAATTAGACGGTCTTCAAGAAATTTTACAAAATTCTCTCGATTTTCTCTTCCCCTTCACTTGAATTTTTCGCATGACATACTGTTTATGTGATAGCCATAATCTCGCATGATCTAGCAAAATTTAATTTCCAAAAAATGTTGATTTTGAAAAGAATCACATTTTTCAGAAAATTGCAAATCGGACAGAACTTTCAAAACAACCTAGTATTCTTGCTTTCGCCAGAAAAAACATTTGGCGGAAATCTCACTACTTTTCAAGAAGCAATCTAGGATGAACTGGTAACTATGCAACATTTTCTAGCTGACGACGTGCCAGCTGTTCGGTCATTTGCTCCTTGTAGCGATGTAGATTTTACTCATGGATTTTGGAGCAACTTTACAAGAAACTGCTTGTTTTATGGCAGTCTTTCTCGCTCAAAGGTTTTCACTTTTCAGTCTCCTATGCAAACCAATCTGAAGGTACTATTTTTAAAAGTAAAGCTAAGAAAACCACAACTTTTCCACAACATAATAATGACGCATCAGTCTTTTCTCAGTAGCTAATTTGTTTAGCCTAATGCAGTCTCTTCCGTGAGAACATTGCATTATTGTGTTCTGCTTCTTCACCGTAGGGCTCTACTCTTTCCTCGCTATCGTCGGCTATATTTGGCGATCCTTCAATCGAAATAGTTTTTCCAGATGTTCTACACCGTTGAGGAGCTAAATGTTCTTTTGGAAAAAAATTTCAATGCAAACCACAAAATCATTGGAAACGCTCTCAGAAGCCAGTGATGGACATCAAAGCACTCCAAGCCTTGAATACTTTTGCTATACTCTCACTTATCACTGCTCTAATTACGGCTCTTTTCCTGTCTCATATATTAGGTTGTCTCATAATTAATGCACGTTTTTATTTGCTTGCTTTAACAAAGCAACCAGACTCAACCCAACAAAGGGTAAGGGGTACCGTCCGATAGAGCAAAGCAAGCTCTACAAGGTGGCACTCATATCTTTGCGCCATGCTCGATCCACGGAGGGTTCGAACTCAAAATCTAAAAATTTCCAAATGCCCAAAAAATCGAAAAAAATCAGATCTTCGTCCAAATAATTTGTACGGACCTCCCACTCGCTCACATCAATACTATCGATATCTGATATCCATATGTGCGATTGCCGTATTTTTTCCTTGACTAGAAACTGAGAAAACGAAAATTTCCCTGATTTTCTCAAAGCAATGCTAAGCCGTTTTTGCATATGTAGTTCTATACTACAAGCCTAGGTTAGCATAACTGTAGGTTTTCAGCCCATTCCAAACGTTAGTTTTCGAAAAATAACGAATTCGAATTTTTTCGTTTCAGTTTCAGTGCTAAAATCGACATTTCTCGAAAAGTACCGCTCGAAATAGGCTGAAAACCTACAGTCATGCTTATCTAGGCTTGTAGTATAGAACTACATATGCAAAAACGGCTCAGCATTGCTTTGAGAAAATCAGGGAAATTTTCGTTTTCTCAGTTTCTAGTCAAGGAAAAAATACGGCAATCGCACATATGGATATCAGATATCGATAGTATTGATGTGAGCGAGTGGGAGGTCCGTAGAAATTATTTGGATGAAGATCTGATTTTTTTCGATTTTTTGGGTATTTGGAAATTTTTAGATTTTGAGTTCGAACTCTCCGTGGATCGAGCATGGTGCAAAGACATGAGTGCCATCTTGTAGAGCTTGCTTTGCTCTATCGGACGGTACCCCTTATCCTTTGTTGGGTTGAGTCTGGTTGCTTTGTTAAAGCAAGCAAATAAAAACGTGCATTAATTATGAGACAACCTAATATAAAGCTGAATATCTGTTTGTATACCTGTACGTCTGACTGTCTGTCAGTACGTATGTTCCGAATAGAAAATTATATATTTGAAGCGATCTCCAAACCTGGCACACGTACACATTGGGACGGAGAAGGTGTCGTACGCTACTTTCCGTCATTGATCTATTGATTTCATCGATTTCTTGCAAATTCTGACCTATGGAACTGGGTGTTGGCAAAGGGGATAAGTGAGCATGCTGAGTATGAAAAGATTATTGGCAGGGCCTAACGGAACCGGGTTTGCCAGCTAGTTTCGCATATTGTTATCATGCAGATGCTATCGCTCTTGTGTAGCAATGTCTCCACTGTTTCCGAGATTTTACAATGAATGTAATGCATCGGAAGAAAATAGACTTTGTTCGTTGCTTTATATAATATTCATTCATACGTTTTGTGCCAACGTTTGCAATACATCGAATCGGGTAACGTCGAAAATGTTTTATTTCAGGGCGCAACCAAGCAGCATGCGGGAGGCTCGCATATTGTAAGTTCTTTATGCCATAATTTAATGGTACTACGGTTTTTGCATTACTGTATATGTTATTAGCCGTGCAGATTGTTGCACATTGGAGGCACAATCTAGGGTGGCGAAAAGTATGGGCGTTATATCCACAAACGCAAATCTGTCATCAAACATCAAAGCTTGAATTTTATTGTGCCCATGTCACAAACAAAGCTTGAATATTGATATCTAAAGAAACTGTTTGAAATGGCCTCTTCTGGCCCTGACATAGGCCTGAAGTCTTGTTTTGACTGAGAGGACCGTGCGGCGCAGGGAATCAGTATCAATTTTCGTCTAGTCACCTTCCAATTCGTTGCACATACACTCCAGACTTGTGATATTCCCTCTCTTCATACTGTTCTCTAGCACACTTCACACAGAAGTCCATCGGATTCAAGTCAGGACTGTTGACGCCAAAGATCCTTGGGGAGGTATTCTTCTAAGATAGCTGAAAGATATCTTAAAGGCACCGTCCACCCAGATTCTCGACATACAGGTTTATGTCGTTTCAGGGAATTCTCATGTCCCTGAAACGACATAAACCTTCCGGATATGAAGTCGAGAACTCGCGAAAACCTCGACAATTCCCGTTACGAAAAACCCACAAACCGGCCTTCCGGAAAGGTGATTGGATGGGCGGGCATGGATGGGGTCCTCGTGCAACTTTGTAATTCCGGTGCGATTTTCTCACTTCCGAAGCGAAATTTTGCGCCGCGACTTGGGCATTGAATCGACAGGGGGCTCTACTATTATATGCTACGAAAAACTCAACACCCTCAACTTAGGGTGAGCAGTGCCTTTAACGTCGAAATCGCTGAGTGCGCCGGTGCCCAGTCGTCCTGGAATATCATTTGTAAATGATTTCTTTTCCATGAAATGACGCACTTTTCTAAGACTTCTTGGTACACAGTGGGTTGATGTTGACATTCTTTGGCATGAAAACAAGCGGCGTCTTACCATTCGCCGAGATTCCTGCCAGACCATCAGACTGCGTGGAAATGGTGACTTTTCAGTAATTTTCGCTTTCCTGACTGTTTATCATTCGGACTGATTAGCTGGTGGTCATTTTGGGAATTGCGACACCTTCCGATGGTAAACATTTTGTCATCCGTATACAAGACATTTTCAAAGCGGCGCATCTAACTAGAAAAATTCTAACGAATTCCTGCATTTTTCCAAACGACTCGCTTTTGCTGCGCTGGTCAGTTGGTGTCCAGCGAGTCGGTAGCTCCGAAATCCCACTTCATCTTAACGTAGCTTGGATCAACGAAAGTGCTACGTTTAGGCTTCTCGCGATGTCGTTCAGGCTGACCTCGTCGTTCCTGCAAATCCTTTTTCTGATAAATCCTCGAATTCTTCTGGTGTTCACCGTTCGTACGACCAGTTTTCGGCTTGAGAGCAACATTTTCTTCTTTTCTCCACTATTTGATAATTTTCTGGACCGTCCTCAAAAACGTGTCTAGCTTCCTTGCAAATGTTGCCGCGGACGGCCCTGTTCAGCCAAGTGGGCGATGACTTTGCGGTGAGGGCACGCCTTATAATTTCTTGGTAATTAGATGACCGCTTGTTGCAAACTATGGAACCAAAATAATTTTCTTTGCGCCAACCAACAAACGATGGGACACGATCAAACATGGCGTCCATACTCCTCGGCCACTCGTACTTTGAAAAAATACGATGATGCTAGAACTCCTATCATCAATTTTTGCGTGTATTGATTTTCATGTGACAGCCGCAGTGTGAATATAAAAATGTTTTGATTATACTATTGGATAGAGCAACGCAAGCTGTACAAGATGACTGCCCAGAAATCGTGATCTAACCCAAGTTGCAAGCCAAGTTTGAAAAGTTTCGATCATCTCAAGAATCGGATCTCCGCCAAAAACACTTGCAAAAAGTCAATAAATCTTTCTTTTCGCCACTGCTCAAAAACGGTCATTACTTTTGCATCAACCCAATAGCTTCAGCAAGACCCACTTTCTGCGTCCCATAATGGATGCAAGAAAATTTCCTAGAATTCGTTTCTATCCTCTAACGCACATTTTGTTCGATGCACGTCTCATTTGCGCACGACTTGCATGTCAGATACTATTAGGTTAGTCGGAGAAGTATGGTCGTTTGACATATACTAAGAGCTATAGCAAGCCAGTGAGACGCAAATTAGTTTAGATCATGTATATCAATAATGCTGTACACTTTCGGTGACAAAAAAGCGTTTTAATTTAAAAAAGAAAGAATGAGAATAATTGACAAACACCTAAAATTTGCCACCTGTTGACTTCGTTTAGTCGTAGTGTGGAGAAAGCTGCTTCCCTATGTCATTGCATAGGCACACAAATATGTTTCAAACAATCCAAATTTTGACCCGGATTTGCTAATTGGGAAAGCTCTTCATGTACGAGTGGGCCGAGACATTCGATTGCATGCTTATTTTGAAGTTTCATAGCTGAGTATTTCACTGCATTTATTTATTTTGATCATGCCTTGAAATAAAGGTTGTTTGATTATCTGCCTTCATGACAAGTAAAGGTTGGTTTTGAAAATTACACAAGAGAAAAGAGAACATAAAACAAAGCAAAAGAAAACAAAACATCTAGCAAAAGCAGAAAAAACCCTTGAAAACGCGCGATGAGTTTGAAATTTTTTATTTCGTGGAATTTCGAATTGCAAGTTTTCAATCCAGGACCCGGCGATCCAGAACTCGGTAGGGGGGGGGGGGGAGACGAGTTTATTTAATTTCTTCTGTAATTGTTTCCAACCACGTTTCGGAAGCATTGTTTATCAAGAAGGATAAGCAAGAAAAGAATGAGTCATGAGAACGCAATACTTTGTATTTACTGAGATAAAATGTACTTCGAAGCCAATTTAGTGACACTGGTTGTAATACTCCAATAAAGAACTAATCGTAAGAACAAAAATGCACTTTTTAGAGCATTTTATCGAATTTTTCACCATAGTCGAAAAAGTAAGCTCGGCGATGTTGTCTATTCGAACTCACGAGAAAGCGCGAAGAAAACTTGAGTAGAAAAAACAAGAGATTTTCGAAAACAGGCTTTTGCCAGATTTTTCGTTCAAATCAGGGAGGCTTGGCAACGTTGTCAGCATTAAAGGAGATCAGGGTACAGTATGATATGCAATTTGCTGGAATTTTTCAATAAAGTGAATAAAGAGGATCGAGTTTGGCACCCGCCATTACTCACTTGACCCGCTCGATCCGCTTGATCTGCTTGATCCGCTTCGTGCAGAACGCGCATCACTAATTTGTCTTTTGGCGTCGCGTACAGCGAATTTGCGTAACCATACAGAATTCCTTTTTACTTACGCGGCGCCAAATGACATACTGCTGTGTGCGCGCGTTTTGCATGAAGCGGATCAAGCGGAACGTGGATCAAGAGGATTAAGTATGGCGGGTGCCTTTGGAACAAAAGAGAAGGAAAGGATACCATAGCCAATTGCGTGTCCCGCATTTATAGCGAGGTAGCACGCAACACGTGGAGGCACAGATGAGCAGAGGAGAAGGAGCAGAGCCGACGCGGCATTTGGCTTTTGTCGAAAATCTCCGCGAATTTTTGAAGGCAGCATCCAGGCAGATTAGGACATTTTTAGATACTATCATAACCGAGTACCAGGGCCAAGATCTCTATCGCGCAAAACCGACTTTCAAGCACTCCCTGTAAAAGAAGAAAATCGGCACAGACACGGGCCATCCTCTTCCTCGTAGGTCCGCCCCTTTAACGAACTCTTCTCAGCCCTTGACGTGTTTTTACGAAGCACACAATCGAACACATAGCGTCTACCTGTTAATGCCTGCTTTTGACAAGTATAGCATTAAAAGCACTCGTCCACTCTTCTCACAAAATCGTCTCAAAAATAGGGTTCTTGAGAAATTTACGCATTTTAAGTGTCATATTTGGAAATAGCGCCATGAAAAGGCCTGGATAAGGCAAAAAATAAAAGTGGAGATTCTGCCCAGAAGTTGCCTTAAAGGCAGCGTCCGGGCAAAATTTCGTTTCTCATGTTTATGTCGGTCTAGGGCTTTCCGTGGCCCTGGTTACAGTTATAAAGTTCAAATTGTCCAAAACTTTCAAAAAAACCCCCCCGATTCCTGGGGACCCTGTTTAAGGGCGCGGAGGAGTTTCGGATCGTTTACTCCCCCCCCCCCCCCCGGCTCGCCACCGAGGAGGAGCTGCGACTGCATGGGTGCAGTTGCAATCCATGATCGATCGATGCGTGAGCACCCGTCCTCAGGGGGAGGTTTGTGATACGTATCGCAGGCCCGTATCTCCTTTTAAAGGCCACGTCAAAGGATCGGAACAACGCAGATCGGTTATTCATCGGGCCCGCTTTACAACTATGTGCTAATCTGGAAAGGTGAATCCTGCCCGGACGTTGCCTTCAAAGGGAGCGTCCAGGCAATTCTGGACGTACGGGGTCTTACTGGACCACAGGATCGTGGATAGTAATTTTGGGGCCCTAAGTAAGCCACTGCCCAACCGGCAGTTCAGGTAGTGCTCTAATGGCCGAGCTATTCCCCTCGAAACCGGAACCCAGGATCGTAGTTCGCATGGATTCGTGGCGCAACCATTAGTCTCGCGCGAGGACCTACGCGCAACTAATGGGTTGCGCCATGAATCCATGCAAAATACGATCTTGGGATGTCCGGTTCGGAGGCGTATATCTCAGCCATTAGTGAGTCACCTGCGCTGCCGTTTGGGCAGTGCTTAGTTAGGGCCCCAAAGTTACTTTCCACGTAAAATCTCCAAAGGACCAGATTTGCCTGGACGCTGTTTTCAAAAGAAACCCGGCAACATAATTTATTATTCTGCTCATGACACGACTAGGAGCACTGACAAGGTCGCAAGCCTTGAAAATCACTTATTAACGGGATAAAGAATCTTTATCATCTCAATTATCTGTGCAGAATATACGCGCTGCTTCTCGTTTTATCAATCCAACACCTTTCGTGAACATTTAAAACTCATTCGTAGTCCAAAAGAGGTTTGTTGAGAAACGTTGTCCTAAGTTTGGAGAAATTTCTATAGAACCTTGTTTTAAGCGCGAAAAAGAACATGAAAACGCAATTTTTCGATTTCACTGGGGTATTCTTGAGGTATTACTCACTGCACTTCTTCATTCACGATTTCGTCCGATTTAGTCATGAGCTTTACGGTGAAAATGTAGGCAAAACAATAAAGCAAATGGCTTCTTTTATACATCAGTCTGTAACATATAACTTACACTTTGACTTTTTACCGCAATAATCACACACTTCTTATGTACTACAAGCAAGTTTCAGGACCACCATTCAATAGAGCACAGGAAGTTCTACGGGATGCTGTTCAAACTTTGGCACCGACTTTGTTCCAGTCAAAGCTTGAAGCTGACCACAAATCCCCAAGTTGTCGAAAAATTGTGAAAACTCGGAAAACTTGCAAACCCTACGAATCTGTACTTGTTCGCCCTTATAGATCCTACGTCAGACATTTAAGTAATATAAACAGTGGCTCTACTTTCCCTTTAAGAGATTGAGAAAAAAATTTCATGATTTTGCCAAAGCAATGGTGGGCTGTGTTGTCTCGATTTTTGAGGAAAAAGTACAACACCGATGTTGAGCGGTTGATGTAGACGTACCCGACGCAGTCTGTCTCTGGCAAAGGGCGTCGTGTTCGCGATTTCGTCGTCGCGATTTCATCGCCGGGGAACTCGGTGGTTTAGGCGGTGAGATGCGACGAAATTGCTTATTGCAGAAACGTGGGCATAGTACGGGCAATCCCAAGTCTTTGCAAACATCGGAACTAGGTGCAAGCAATAAAAAAAATTTGTTTTGCGAGTGGAATACTTGCCCTCAGCATATACGAGCTACTCATGCCGTTAATGAAACACAAGCGCAAAATTTTTCCATAATTTGCCCATCATTTATCTACCTCATGAGCTTATTAGTTCGGAAAGTTCTCGTCTGCGAATGTTGCCTTTTGGAAGCTAACAGCTTCAATAAAGACCCTTCATTAAGTTTTGAAAGGAAAGCAATCACAAAGAACTAAAAATGGAATAATGACGTGGGGTTCTGCAGTGTTTTGGCAAATTATTGCCGCTCTCTTCTTGAAAAAAAAAGCATTGCACTGAGCTAAAAATATAAACAGAACCGTTTTGTGCTAATGCATTAACATCAAACACGAAATTTCTTCTGTATTCATGAGGATAGAGACTGAATGCTTACTCGAGAAAAATAGCGTATTTAACTTGCAAAAAGCAAACACCTAAACACTAAAATCACTCTAGAAATTATACTTCATAAACAAACAATTTTGATTATTTAGAAAAACAGAGGACGGACCACACGACATTTCCTTTGTGAAAAAAGGCGCCAACTTGAAGTTTTTTCCTTCACCTACTTCAGAAAAGATTTCCTTTTTCTTCTAACAAAAACGAGCTGGAAGAACAATGCATACCCAGTAAAAGCTCTTGAGATCTCCCTTGCATCTCAGCGATATCGTCCAGTAGCCTGTGCAGCACGCGCGACGTGACACCGCTAAGTTTCGCCGAAATCGCGGCGATTATCGCTGAAGAACTATGCCTTAGCCGAAAACGACTTGTCTGCGATCCGTGGCGCCGGACGTCTACCACAAACGCCAGCATACACGTTGACATGCAAATGTGCATAACAGTTGTCGATTCTCAGAAATTGCAGAGTGACGGAATCTTGACTACTATGCCCTCGGCCTCTCTAGCGAGCGTGATCTTCAATAATTCACTAGTTTTGATTAAGCCTTGAAGCCCTCCAATCCCGTTAAATCAAAAAGATCGGGCGCAAGTGTTTAAGAAATGCGTGGCTCTTTGATGTTTTTTCCATTTTTCACAGTTTCTCTTGAATTTTGGTCTATAGTTTCTAGCTTTGACTTCGATGTGACTGGTTCAAAGTTGGTGCGGTTTTGAACAACTCTTGTAAAGCTTGATTTGCTCTATAAAATGGTGTCCTAAGACTTGATCAAATATGAGAAATATATGATTTATTGCGGTAAAAACTCAAGCGTAACAAAACTTATGTTACAACCTAGTATAGCTTTGAGCCAATAATCGAATGTGAGATTGTGCGCCACGGTTATTGATTACATCCTCTTAGTCGTTATATTTGTCTTATAAAATAGTCCACAGCTTTTTTTGGTGTACATGAGGGCTGGTTATCTTCAGGACACTTCTTACTCAATGTTGCCTTTTTGAGGCAGTAGTAGTTTTTCAATCATTAATGCAAAAAAAAGGATTCTTTGTGGTGTTCGTGCTGAAGGAATAGGTATGAACTTTGAAGAAATGATGCCGTATGGGGATCCGATGTTGGATGATATTTTATTGGACATATTTTAAACCAGTTTTCGTAGAATGGTAGAATGTGTTATTATTCGCACTCATGTGGAGATTACAGAACTCGAAGATTACGCCTATTTTTTAGCTCAGTTTAGGAGCCGGCACTTTTTCTGCACCCTGTAATCTGTCACAAACCAAACTTGGACAAGCTGACGGGAGTGTCATCATTCATTGTACATTTGAGAAGAGCCTAACTCATTCACTCCCCTCTCATTAGAACACATCCGATTCTTTGAGGAGTGAGGCTCTTTGTAAAAATAGCAAAAACTTTCCTTACGTCTATGTTTTGACCTTTGAAGAAGATAGAGTGTGTGAGCGACTTTTCGCACGATGAACGAGTGCGAGGGGGTGGCATAAATAGATTTAAGCAATTAGAAAACTTGACTAAATAAGTGAAACAAAGTATTTGAGAAGTTTCGTAATGAGACCACGTCACTAGTTTGGAATGTTACTTGATTTTTCAAAAACGCATTGATTAGTATCTCAAAAGGGTTACTTTGCGGCTCCTACAGTAAGGGTGTTCTATTTTCAAAAGTTGTAAGAGTACTTAGATTTTTCGAGATCATTTAAAATCAACTTCAACTATCGGGGAAAGATACTTGGTAGCCGTGACTTTTCGATTTGTGACATATGTCATGACATTCGCCTTGAAACCGTGGTCCCTAACCTGTGTTCGTTATCTGCGGAACGATTATTCGGAAAAAACCGGATCCCCTCCCATTGCGTTTGCACAAGAGTACGAGTAATGTAGAGAATGCAAAAGTGGTCAAATGGTTTAGCGGTTAGCGCTGTGGATTCATATTGGATGACGGTTTGATCTTGATAGGTGCAGATGTTTTTGCGTGTTCAGCGCTACTTCTTCTCAGAAGAGCGTAAATAAAGAACACAAATTCGCAATCAGCGTTCTGATTAGACGAGCATTATGATGTATAGCACCTTCCTTGTAATGGTCTCGAAGCTTCCAAGTTTCTTCACTAACTTTCTAAGTTATTTCTCCGTACGTGCTCAGCACCCTAAGCTTAGTACTCTACTGCCGTAAAACACAACTTACAGCCCATGGCTCTTATGCGTTCAATACCGTAGACTCGAATCCACTGCACTATCTAATCCAAACGTATCACATATAACGATCGAGTAATCTATCCAAGCTTATCTCAAGTAAGTAAAAATGACATGTAAAAGATTAAAGTGAGCTACTAAGCGTGTGGCTAAACCTACCATTTAATCAACTACGAAATAGTTCCATCTCTCGTAGTGTCGAAGGCGCTAAGGCTCAACTGTTCAGTAAGCCTTAGGTGTTTGCCACCGGGCTCGTCAGCAAGGCGCCGAGTTGTTGTGGAGCAGAACAGATCCCCTCTGCTCCTTTTTGTTAGTCACCCCTAGCTCAAACATCCTTCGTGTTCACAGCGCGTTCGACCGAAAAATCATTCGATGCTCGACCTGAACAGCTTGAGCATGAACTCTTCAGCGAGGCTTGCCGAAACAATCAACATAAAACTAAGATACCGATCCGAAAAGAAATCAGAGGTGTATGCCGCTTGTCACGCAGCTCAAGTTACCTCCAAGCTTAGCAGCACCTCGAACTGTAATCTTTGGGAAGATACGAGGTGGGTGTGGTGCTGGTGCGAAGGTTAGGTGCGAAGCTTCCGATTGTAAAAACCCCTCTCAACCGACCCCCCCCCCCCTCCCTCAAGACATCATTCCTCAGTGACGACTATTCACTGCTTATCTTTTATCTTTATCTTTTATTCATTTTTAACGGTTTACATTGTTCATGCAAGAGACCGTGATGATATTATGTAAGGCTTCATTATGTCAGTAGTGGGACCGCATATGTAATACCAAGTGTTCTCCATACAGCACATTCCATTCTTAGTTCCTGCCAATTACAATTAGGCTTATATATCTTGCAATGCTTACGGATGTCACCTTCCCATCTCATTCTAGGTTTTCCATCACTGCTTATACGACATTATCGTTAAATGAACCCAACGTGTTTCAGACACCACATTAAGGCTTCAAACTTCCTTATTGTATAACGTCGATATTTTATAATTCTCTTTCTTAACTACTTTACTCTTTGCCCAAAAGACGACTCATGAACTTGTTGAAGTGAAATGTGAAAATTAATCTGATAAAAAGAGATCATCTTTGATAAATTTGCCTAGTTTACTTCTATTGCTATTGGCAAATTTCATTCAAGAACAAGTGAATGTGACAATTACAAATGATGCATGTTTTTGTGTAAAGACGAAGCCAGTAAAAGTAAAGTAACGGATCACAAAAGAATAGATTTGTTTAATTACTTTGACAAGCAGTAGGTTACGAAACCTGGCTGCGGCGTTCACGGAAATTTTGCACGTTCTGTGGGCGGAACTCTATGGTAGTATGCAGAAAAAGTGTTTTCTTGATAAAAATAAGTAGTGTTACTTCAGTTTCATGCTTGCGGTGATACTTCTCATCACAATGATGACGTGTCGATCAATGCCGTCAAAAGAGCTACAATACAAAAGGATGTTACAAGGTAAGGGTATAACACGAAATAGATGTATCCTATTATATTTCTCACTCGAGCAAGTGGCCACCTCAAACTACGATTGTATTAGGTTGAACCGAAAGTTCGTTCGCACCATTTTCAAAAAATCATAACTTCTCTCCGTTACGACGATTTTGAGCAACTCAAGCTTTATTAGAAAGAGCAAAGTAGTAGTTTCCAATAGTTCCCTGGAGACTTTCCAGCATGTTCAGATTGCAGAGATAAAAATGAAAGAACGAAAACATCCGAAATTCGGAATTTTTGAGAAACAATTTCAAAAATCTAGAAACTGCGCGATAAAATCCAGAAAAGCCATTATCCTAATTTTTCTTATATTTGGTTACTAACTGAATTGAGTTTGTGCTGATTGAGCTCTTCTTTCAAAAGTTATGATTTTTTGAAGAAAATTCCGAAAAATCACATTCCTAAGAATTCCTAAGAAATTGATTTTTCGGCATTTTTTTTCAAAAAATCATAACTTTTGAAAGAAGAGCTCGATCAGCACAAACTTAACTCAGTTAGTAATCAAATATAAGAAAAATTAGGATAATGGCTTTCCTGGATTTTATCGCGCAGTTTCTAGATCCTTGGAATTGTTTCTCAAAAATTCCGAATTTCGGATGTTTTCGTTCTTTCATTTTTATCTCTGCAATCTGAACATGCTGGAAAGTCGCCAGGGGACTATTGGAAACTACATGCTTTCCGTTTCTAATAAAATTTGAGTTGCGCAAAATCGTTGTGAGGGAAAGAAGTTATGATTTTTTGAAAATGGTGCGAACGAACTTTCGGTTCGACCTAATACTTTCTAAAGCCATCATCATGCAAAGATCCTTGTCTACCGAACGCATCGTAAAGTTACAACTGTTGAGACCTGATTCCTGTTTTTGAGGTGTGATTGACTCTCGAAAGATTTGATGAGTCTAGAATAATTGCTGTATTAGGGTTAGCCCAGACTGCGCGGTGTACGCGACAAACGCCCCATAGGGTTGGGCCAGACTACGCTGGAAAAGTCGCGCACGCGACGTAGCGGGGGGAGCGCACTCTCGGTATGCTTCATCATAAGAGCGTGCGTAGCCGCGTACGTGTGCAGTTTGGCTCCATAAAGATATGAGGCGTTCATGACCGCGTACGCCGCGAAGTCTGGCCCAGCCCTTAGGCGTTTCATAAAATTGTAAAGTTTACTTTCCCGTTGCCTTTTTTGAGACGCGGTTGATTTGAGTCCAGATGCTTCTATCATTGTGAAGAGCTGGTCATGCTCTTAAGAACAAACTATCCAATTTTGATAAAAAGCTGATTTTGATTTCTCGGCTTCCAAAGACAGGTTTCTCAAGAAGTAAAAAAAGCATTCCCAATACCCGCCCTTATTTTTAATAAGTAAGGCATTTTGCGCAATTCTTATTCGCTTTTTTCATCTGGGACAAACAAGGATCGGACTGCTTCAAAAAAACATAAGTCTTTAGCGTCCCTGATTGTTTTTGTAGGACAGGAGGGTAGCACTGAGAATTGCTAGGCAAGAACGAATCGATCGCTCAAACCGCGCGCAACCCAAGTACACTGTCTGAAGGAGTCTTTATTGCAAAAAAACCCCTAATAAACAAGCTTAGTGAGTTTTACTGTGCGACTAAGCATGACCTCTTGCAGCAAACGTCGTCAAAGCAGTCCTGCAAGAATTGAGGTTGTATTAGTATTCAATGTACTTTTAAGATCGCCTTAACAGTTTATCATTTGTTCCAGTCTACCGCAAATTATGTTAACGATGTTTCTTTTATTCTGACGACAGTCTCATGAATTGGCTTGACGATTTTTTTGAGACCAGACTCGCAGAAATTTGGAATAACGGGACTGGAAAGACGGCAAGGTGGCAGAAGGTTATGCGCAATTACAAGACATGCATGGTCGACTAAATTTGTTAGAATTGTCTCATTTCGTTGATATATAAAAATTTACGAGCTTATCAAACTCCGTGAATTTACGGCCGCTTAATAGTAGGAATGGAAAGTTTTTCGGAACATGAGCAATTTTGCCAGCAAATGTTTTGATCGGGTGCTAGATTCACTTTGAAAAATAATAATTTTACTTGAAAAAGTCCTTGCAGGATTCGTTACCGCTTATCATACAGAACACCACTGTGACATAATGAGATTTAATACCATAAAGGCAATAAAAAGACGCGTCCATGTTTTACTCGTAATAATCTCACTTTTCCATAACTCTGTTACTTTTTATCGAATCAGACTTTCATTGGACCGTAGATCCCGAAATATGTCCACATGTTTATTGTACTTCCGAATTTATTGGTAGAGAAGACTTTTTGTGACACTTTCAGAAATCATCGGCGGAGAGGACACTCCATATCCAGTATTCCCCGTGGCCATGTTCCCCGATCGTCTGCCAGCACTACAAAACTACTGGTAACACCACGGCTCACCAACTGTTTCAACACTGGATATTCTTGTCAAGAGATCATCGTTCAAACATTTTCTCAACATAAGTTTCTTGACTTATGACAGCAGCTGCGGGAAGAACTACAGCTGATGTTTGAGATTAATAAAATTTTATCTGTGGCAATTTCTAGCTGAAAGTGTAGTAGATAAGGCACACGTTTTTTTAAAATTAGTTTTTTCATATGAGCCATCATAAACAAGTAAGAAATATCTCGTACTCACTTTATCAAACTGGTTAGTACTTTGAAATCTCACAGATAGGGCCTTCCATCTAACCATCTGACAGTCTTCGGGGTTGATAAATCTAAGGTATTTATAATGGAGAGAGGACTCTCACTAGAACGCACTTTTAAAAAGTCTGTAGAGGTGGCGTACCCACGATTTGGGGGAGGGAGGAGACAAAAAAAAATTTCGAATGAAGGTGCGTGGCGTCAGCCACGCACCAAAATTTTTTCGGGCTCCTGACCCCGATGGACTCATCTGTAAGTTTTCAGGGTACTATAGAATGACACTGGTAGTGTTTTGTTGACGCGAAAAAAATGCTGACTTGCTTTTCCCGTTGTTGAAGCAATAATGCATTCATTTTTTTTGATGGCGGTACGCGTTGCGTAGAAAGAATGCTTCTAAGTCGTTTGCTCGCAATCGTTATACGGAACAAATGATATGCACTGCTCCAGCATGTTTTACAGGTAGACGCACTCAAGGTCACACATACACTACAGTCTGCCCCAATCCTAACCAGGCCAAAGTCGACATGGCGGGAGTCCGCGCCGAGAGGGTTTCGCGCCACATCTGCGGCTAGCTAGTCTGCTCCCTCCTCGATCTATACGCTCTCTGCGACAGCGCGCGTATGCAGCGCAATCCCCTAGCGCTGCGAGCTCGCAAAGTCAGCCGACGGTTCGGCCTGATCCCGATTGGGGCAGACTGTACCTCTTATAATTTGTGAAAAAAAAACGGTGGCCTCAAACTTGGGTGGTGGCTACCAGTTAGATGGCGGCCGGCTAGGAGACAACCTCAGAGTTTGCCGAAATTTGCTTTTCGTCATGCCTCGATGGAATGGACAAACTCTAAATACAAGGGTACGATTCGACTCAGCTTGGCGAGGTGTTTCTTCTGATGATTAAAAAGGCAACTGTCTGTAGGGCTACAGTAGGTATACGGTAGGTAGTCACTTTTTACTCGAGTCACTGATAACAATGTTCACGTGAACTTGTTGCTGCAACACATTGTAGGGATGCTGTAAGATTGCGGAAGAAAGTCAGTTGGCTCGGACTAGGTAAAATCTCAGCTCAGGTAGCTATTTGACGCTCTGATTACAGTACTCTAATTCCACGAGTATAACGCGCGGTATTTTGTAGAATCGACCAGCCAAACACACGAAAAACTTAGTGGCTTAAGGACCTGTACAATCTCTTGTACATGTTTTAGCTAAGGCCAAGATCGTTATACGATTTATTAGGCTAACATTTTGGTGTCTTCGCCATCTTCAGAGCCTGCAAAAGCTATTCTGCTATTCTCTCAAAGACTCTGTCTACACCATATTGGTACAATCCAACAGCTGAGAAAGCCAGAAACAAACGAGAGACGTGGGACAAGTTAGCGCTTACCTTATGGCCTTGCAGTCAAGAGCAGACGATCACCCGCACTGTTGTTATGATTTTGATGTATTCAAATCGTATAGCAATATTGGCCTCAATTACAAATATCTACAAGAGACTGCACAAGTCATGTCGAGGTTCAATGACGGTCGGATTTGGAATTTGACTCAATGACCCCCTACCGTGCTGCCATTCCCTCAGAAATTTGTATGGCAAAGGTTTCGCAAGGCACAGCGAAGCGGCTGAACTGCTTATGTTGAAAAACGAAAAAGGTCTTGTACTCGTAAAATTATGGTAAAATACCGCTGTCATGACCTGTGACAACTTAACTTTCGACTTCGGCCTTTGCACTCTTCCAAGACACGAAAGCGTAAAAATTCTAATAAATAGTTTCATTATGGTGTTTGGCGAGTTATATTCGGTATCTAAATACCATCATGTGTATGCAAAAGATTCGAATAGAGGCAGGTCATGCGGTTACCAAACGCGCGGCCGCTGCCATTGCAAGAACTATGATATAAATTTATTTGTTGCTAATGGAATACTGCTGGGATGAGGTAGGTCTACGATGTAAAGTCGGATTCTTTGATGTGTCTAGAGCGTTGCTTAGGTTCAAGTCTATGTTCTTTAATAAATGACGGTAAATTTTTACCATGATGCTATGCTGTAAGAGAGAGTTGACGTTGCTAACAGCACGAATTAGCTGCGTATATAACAAGCTGGTTGTGAATAACATCCTTATTTTGCGCTAAAAGGTCTCACCCTGAAGGAAATACTCATAAATACAAGAGTGATTACATGATTCTCCAAGAATACCTCAAGCTATTATCTGGTTTTACTTAAAGATTATTACCGCGTCGTCGCAATATAGGAAGGGTCAAATCCGCGTTCATTATAAATTTGGGACCAGTAATTTTATTATCGTTTGATCAATTTAGCCGTGTTGCACAGGCGATTGTGAACTGACTTCGCCAAAATATCGATTTTTGGATTTGATTTCGTAAGCTCTAATCCGGCGAAAGGTAATGATAAGGCCTCGGTTAAGCAAGACCAGGTAGCACAGGGTAAAATATGCAAACAGTTCTCGAACAGATGGGAGAGAAGTGCAGATGAATTTGCAACTTTGTGTGGTCTAGGTCTCCTCATTGTAAAACCAGTCAGTGCAGAATAACTATGATTTTCGTGAACAGCCAATTCGAAAACTTTTGTGAGCGAAGTTTTCGTTGTGTCCAAAATCTCGGACAAAACCTAAGGCGAGCTCGAGAGCGAAAAAGGGAAAAAATCAACTGGCTCGATTTCTCTAAAGAGTTCGTTGAGTTCTAGCCTGCCTGCTGATTACGAAAATCACTTCTGTACTGCAAGATAGTTTCAATGAGCTATTATATGAACTTTGGGTTATACATGAATTTTTTAGAGGTTTGCTGAAGTTTCAATGAGCTATTATATGAACTTTGGGTTATACATGAATTTTTTAGAGGTTTGCTGACATTTTTCGCCCTTACATCAAAAGGCTTTGCTGTATTCAACTAATAGAAAACCTGGATATCTATCGAAAGATGTCTGTGACAACCTTCCACCTACAGAAAGCATGGGGTTGCCCCCTTACACCCTGAACAAAAAAACTGACGACTTTAGATTATCGCGAAACTCATCTTATCTAGATGCAAATTCAATCCCTGACTATAAGATGCAACGGTAAATAATAGCAGATAAATGGCTCGTTGACTTTGCATTTTTGAAACAATCACTGATCTTTTTCTTGGTTTTGAAAAACACCTATCACCCACGCAGTGGCGTACCGAGGGGGGGGGGCGTGCGCCCCCCCTCCCTCATGCTTTAGGACTGATAGCCAGGTGTATCCCGTTTGCACCCAACGTTTCTATCAACAAAGCACATTACCTTAATTTCACGAGTATAAGACGCACCTTTTTCGATTTCTCAAGCGAGCCGCTCAGCCGCTTGGTTCTCTTCCGGAAAACGAGACGCTTATGCCACATGAGACTCTCAGGCAATATGTAGCACTGTATATATTAGGTGGGAACCTAGTTTTGCAACTGTCTCAATACCTTTTTTTCAACGTGGCTTCAAGTTTCGTCATTATATCTAGATTTATGAGGTAAGATACAATTGTAGCTGCTGTTCTGCCAAATTCTGCCGCCGCAGTGAGTGTTACGGTAGATATATGGTACGAGGGGAGAAACTGAAAAATTTCACAGATTTAGCTGAAACTTGGTATAAGGGGATTATTCAACATGCTGACCATGAAATTGAATTTGCATGGTAAAGGCTTTCTTGTAAGAATTACTGTAGGTTTACAATTTAGGGTGTCTCACCCTAAACGAGAAAAAAGGAATTGATCGAAGAGATGAGTGTGATATTCGTGTTTATCAGGTCAGATAATCAATATGCGAAGTCTCGGCGATGTTTGAGGTTTCGACTTCTTAGCCATTGACAATCATTCCCACCATCCTTTCGTACAGCGACTCATTCAACTCTGTGAGAACTTCAAATCTCGAGTTATTTTCAGTTTTTATTTCTTTTCTATTAAGTTAAATAAGTCAACCTTTAGCATTAATTTACACACAATTTCGGTCATTACGCATGGTTCAGGTTGTTAATGGCTTCATTTTGTCTCACAAACCCAAGAATTCTCGAAATTCACTAGTTTTCGAAAAAAGCCCAAATTTTTCTAGTACGTGCTCAAAAATCGCATAGTTTGTGCACAGATGTAGAACGCATTACGTTTCATATATACTCAAAGTTTGATTGCGCAACATCCAAAGAGATGAAGTTATGAAGGAAGTTGCAAAACTTGGTTGCCAACCTAATAGCTTTTTTGGTCGCGAAGGATTCCGGTGTGTGCTTTCGATTTTAGGGAAAAGTTCCCCGCGTCCTATACTCGTAATTAGGGTACTTGTATTTGACTATACTGCAGACAGGCAAAATCTGTAGATCTAAGGGTCCTAACTTCTTTCACAGAACCGTTTCGCTGATTTGGGGGTCAAACATATAATCGGTGTCCCAAAAGAACTTTTTTTTCTCAGATCGAGCACGCAAAATCAATCCTGAGCAGCGTCTAGAGCACATTAGAGTGGATTAAGCTTACAGCGTGCACTCGTGCCCTGCGCTGTGCCAACAGCAACAAATGAATGTGTATAGGCTGTATCAGCCAGCATCGGTCCCGCGCCAGTATGACTTGCGACGACGCACCGTCGCACGCGACGTGCCTTAACGCGTAGCAGAGTTCGCACGCGTCATATCGCACCGTCGCAAGTTGCCGCAGGCGCGACGTCGCACCGATGCTGGTTGGTACAGCCTATAGATCAATCATGAAATCGTATAATGGCAGGTGCGGTGCTCGTCGCGTACTCAGTGTTCCGTAGTCGTCATTTTTTTGCTTGGCCTATACTCGAGTCCTTTTTCGCGTGCATATGATAGGTCTAAATACTCGAAGTAACTGAGCTATGCGCTAAAGTGATGCATTGAGTTTTGGAGTGCATTGAGTGGGCATTATTGGAGTGCTTTACGCTCTTGTGACCAGGGCTTGGCACCAGCTGGAACCAGGCAGATCTCGATGCGAAACCCCCCCCCCTTTGATTTTGAAAAATTCTCACAAGCCTTCTTTGACCTTTACTCCCCCCCCCCTCCCTGACTACTACTTGTCTCTCCCCCCCCCCCCTCCACACACATCTTCCTTTCGCTTCCCAGTTCTTTCCCCCTGCTCTTCCCACCCCCTCCATCTCTCCCTTCTCCTCCACTGAGAATGATAACAGATTATGTACCAAGAATGATTTCAAAAAGAAAAAAGGAAATATTAGGTTGGTCCGAAAGTTCGGTCCCACCATTTTTATAAAATCATAACTTCTTCCTAACACAATGTTTTTGCACGAGTAAAAATTATTGGAAAGAGCAATTTATGCACTTTCTAAAACTGCCTTGGCTGCTATCTACTAAGCTCGCGACGCAGAGATAAAATTGGGAAATGGAAATCACTTCAAGTTCGGAATTTTTAAGCAAGCCCATCAAAAAATCCAAAACGTGCCATAAAACCCTAAACAACCAGTTCCTAAGTTTTCTGATCCCCTCTTTTCATGTGAGCAAAATTCGCGCTAATTGAGCTCTCCTTAGAAAGGTTATGATTTTCGAGAATAAATGCCAAAAAATCGGTTCCTTAAGAAAACTGATTTTTTGACATTTTTCAAAAAAATCATATCTTTAAAAAATCAGCTCGATCAGCGCGAATTTTGCTCACTTAGATAGAGAGAATCAGAACTTGAGATATTGATTGTTTTGGATTTTATGGCACGGTTTTGGATTTTTTAACGAGCTTGCTTAAAAATTCCGAACTTGAAGTGATTTCCTTTTCCCAATTGGTCCCCTCGTCGCGAGCTTAGTAGATAGCAGCCAAGGCAGTTTTAGAAAGTGCGCTCTTTCCAATGGTTTTTACTCATGCAAAAACATTATGTTAGGAGGAAGTTATGATTTTTTGAAAATGGTGGGACAGAACTTTCGGACCAACCTAATAGAAAGGCACGCAAAACAAAGGCCAAGTGATTGCTTAGGGGCGTGCTTTGCGATAGGAGCAGATTGCACTGCCAATAGAATATTTTGAGGGTTATAAAAAGTCTGGGGAAAAGTTTAGAAAATGGTTTCTTACTCGTACGAGATTCGAGGTGAAGGTACAATAAATGCAAAAAAAGAAGCATAAAGAATTATGTGAGCAAAGGAGCGGTTCCAGCTGAGCTTGAACCTAGCTGGAGCGGTTCCAGCTAATTCGGGGAAAAATTCAGCACGGCTTTTGTTCACACAAGTTTCATAAATACTTGGGTCGTTTAGTCCTCCCATGCGCATGCGCACACCAAGTTTGATGACATACCATTTCGATTTGACTGTGCAACGTTTTTGCTCGATTGGGATACAGCATGCCGCAAGCACGACACCGACGACTTCTTGATTCCGCAAAAAACAATATCCCTTTTGGCACAGCTCAACAAGAAATATCCCCTTTGCTTTTCCCCCCAAAAACGATATCCAGCTTGCCCAGCTTGTGACTAGACCTTGTGTCAGAGTAGGTGCAGAGACAGCAATTGAAAGGCGTCATTATGTTACCAAAACCTCATGAATTTTTGAAATTGTGGTTATGTTTAAGATAATCATTGAAAGCTTCAATGGTCCTAAATAAATTTTTAAGACAGATCCGAAAAGTTATCACACATTGGCCCGTAGTAAAGCTCGGTCACGGGAGATGATCTCTCCTGAGGCCCTCATATGAGGTCTTGTCGGGTGAGATGAGGACTGTCCGCGTTCCCGTAGTGTAAGTATGCAAGGTCACCCTACAGGTGAGCTTCAGACGAAGCCCGGTAGGGAGATCACCTCCCTACCCGAGTCACCGGAGATGAGCCGGGCGACGACATAAGGTAAATACTGTGCTAAAGAGGAGAGCACAGAGAAAATCCCCGTAAGTTGCTCCCGAGTAACTTACGAAACGCGTCAGTTCAGCTAAAACTGCAGACAGACTTAACGCGAAAATGCACACTTTCATACCGCTGAGGATTCGCACGAAGTCGGATCTTTTACTTCTGTTTTTTTTCATGCTGCTGAAGTCTGCAGCAGTGCTAATCAACAGCATAGTCCTTTCGTGGTCGTCATTTTTCTATTTTGCTACAAATGTTGAAGACTCACTTCCTCTAGTCCAAATCCAATGTGTACTTATTCTGCTTTGTCTTTATTGCGGGTATCATCCAGCTCATGTCTTCTTTTTGAAGTCATAGGTGCCGTTTGTCCCATTTTTTATTACCGAGGCTAGTTCATAAGATTTTCGTCAAGTTTGAAAAATCACTATCAGTGATTGTTTGTTGCCAAAAAGGTGCGCTCTGTGTTGTAACCTGCGCATCGCATGCAGATGCCACCTTCAGATAGTACTTGTTATAGGCATGCTCTAAATCCCCTCAGCCAGTTTCTGAGACTCCACATCTAATTTTATGGCATTAAGATGAAGCTGATGTTCAATTTGCATTCAAATTATTGTTTATTTCTCCTTTTTTTCCATGCAAAATTCCGTAGGAAAACGATTATGCGTTATATGCATTTTTGTATGGGCAAGCTTTCCACCGTAAATTGCTAGTTATAGTTGACCATGTAATGATGCTAACCCGACATTTTTCTAGTTCACTGAGGCTTTTTTTTTGAAGTGTTTACACGTTTGCGACATCATTGCGAGCTTATTACGTGATTTTTGAACAATCGGATTGTACTAGCGTTATAATTGACGAGTTTTTGTTTGAGAATTGAGCGATTTGTCTTACATTTCCATTTTCCAATCTTTGTAGATTGTGTTCGTTGCTGTTGCAGCGCTCATGCAGCCAAGTGCACCATCAAAAATACCCCATGCGGTGTCGAAATATATCATGGATTTTTTTGTGAGGAATGGAGACGTCCTCCTGAACGACACCAATGTGAAAACATTAGCGCAGAACACTAAACGAAACGCAGCTTATAAAAAGCTGCTCAATGAACTCCAGGAGGAGTTCGGCTTCGAGACCAACGAGAAGAAGATACAAAATCATTTCGATCATATACGATCTCGCGTAGTCTCGAAGGGTATGGCCTTCAAGAAAGGCCTTTCAGCAGAGAAGAGGTGTGTGCAGTTGGCTGTGGATACAACGCGAAGTTTACCTTCCTCAGGTATCGCATGGCGACGGGAGGAGGAAATTCTTGGGAAGAAGAAGCGAATTTCTCGAAAAACAACGACTGTCACCCTTTTAACACTGATTCGGAAGAAATACTGTGGAGATATTACGATAAAACCCCTATGACAGAGCCGTTTAAGAAAGGCGAAAGTATGGTGGGGAAGGTATGTTCTGAAGTATTATAAAGTATCTTGAAATTTGTGTTGGTTGTTGCAGCGGAAATTGTGCACGGAACATTATGAAGAAAATGAAGCTGAAGCAGAACCGATCATGGTAGGAAGCACCTATCTGTTTAGTTTCACTGTCACCCTTGTATTTAGGACGACTTTGAGAGTGACAGTGATCACTGTGATGTTCCAAGTAAGCGAAAACGCATCACTGAGTCTGTCTAGAAGAGCAGTACAGACTCAGTATCAGCGCCGCTTCTTCAATCAGTTAATGCACTTACTAACGTGCTGACCGAAAGCATTGTTTCGCAGAGGCAAATTCTTGGAGAACCTGGCACAACGAATTGCATTCAAAGGCATGCGACCGGTGAAGGAGACGTCATCATTGTAGACGGCAACATCGAAGATCCGTTGTGTCGAGTCAGTGAAAAAAAGGGACACCTCCTTCTGTTTATTGTTTCTGACTTCTAACTTATTTTTGCTTTGCTCACATCAAATGTTGTGTCAATAAGGTAGGTTCACAGTTTTTTGCTTGTTCCAATCGCCAATGTTTATTTGTAGGTTGGGCTGCAATTCATTTTGGATGGGATGGTGCTCAACATGTTCCATGAATCTTATAGAAGATAAAACGATCATTCTACACTTGATGTGGACATTGGGTGGCGCTTTAAGGATATGTGACGCACGTGAAATGCTTTCCAAGTTGAAGGGATTTCGTGGAATCCCATCCTGGAAGGTAAATGCTGTTGTGTCTACGCTGTTAGCAGGTTTTATTCAAGCCTAGGTCTTTAATCGCGACATAAATTTGTACAACAAGCCTGAGGATGTGCCTGAGTTTTTACGGAGGATCGTTTGTGATTCATGTTTTTCTCTATCAGAAGAAGCGAAGTTTTTGCAACTTGAGAAATGGTGAGTGTTGAAATGCTTAGTCAAAACCTACCTCCGATCAGCCAAGTGCACAGCTTAATCTGCATTTCCAGAACTCACTATGGTATTCGAGATGATGTTGAATACGAAAATTTGTTCAATCGTCGTTTAGCAGAAAACGATATGAATTGTCGGCACTTATTCTACGCCAACGCAGCTGTTAAAGATTTTGTGGTAAGTCTATAGTGCAATGATCTGCTCGTGACTCTGTTGATGTTTTCAGTGGCGTAATATAACAAGTGTGTCAATACAAAATTTTATGCAGCAACATGGATCATAATGCTATGAATTACATCGTCTGCTACCAATTACATCAAACGGAAGCATGAAACAACATGTCGCACCTAGCAACGTGTTGCTGCTACAGGCGACAGCATGCCTGTCTCAAGGATTACAGCCATGTAGCATGCTGCCAAAATACGAAATCTTGACAGCAAGATGACGTACATGTTGCGGAGATGTTAGCTATACTTGCTCTCGGCTTGAGCTGTAGAGTGACTGTCGCTCGCATCGGAATTACCAACCTCTACAAGTTTTCCGTGACGAATTCGCGGACATGCCCGTTGTCCGGAGGATGGGTCATCCAACCTCGACGGATGGGAGCCAGCGACTGTCCTCTGTGAGTTCCCAGGTAGATGCCGATGTTGTAGAGAATGACGCAGGGCCTTCACTACCTTCTGGAGCTTCGGAGGCTAAATGCGGGTGATGTTGTACAGTATACAGAAACGCCGCTTCAGCGCTCCGAACGCCTGCTCGACGACTCGTCGAGTTTTGGCGTGCTCCCTGTTAAACCTCCTCTTCCCGACGTCATTCTCTGTTGCCCGCTCCCGGAAAGGCGCCATCACACTCACACTCCTGGAGTTGGCAAAGCCGGCATCGCCCAGGAGGCGATATCCTGGGCGAGCACGACCTTCGTCGAACTCGGCAGCTGCTTGCGAATGCTGTCATATGAATGAATCGTGGTGCCTGCCCGGGAATCCGCAGTTGATGTACATGAAGCGGGCCCTGGCATCCACTACCGCAATCATATTGACTGCGCAACATGTCTTGCGGCAGTAGTAGTGGTCGCCGAAGTTGATAGGGCGCTGGATTCGGATGAGGCAACCATCGACGCATCCAATGACATCTAAATAAAGCATTTTATTCAAGTGTTGAAAAATTTTGTGAAGTTCTTACTTTTGAATTTCGAGATTCTAGCGAATTCTCGAGACCTCCGCAAGCACCAGCGCTCTTCCGACGGCCAGAAGCGGAGGAAGCGGGACTCTATTGTTGGATGATTGAGAACATTCACTACCCGGGTGACGACGTCACTCACAGCCTTCTGGCACACCCCGAAACAGTCAGTTATAACAATCTGATGACTGTTGGTGGCCAGGTAGCGGAGTGTGATGAGGACCTGAAGCGAAAACGTAGTAATTATAGTAGGCCTTCATAAAACGATGCCCAAACCTTGTCCTCTTTGCTGATCTCCCAGGGCTCCAGCCCTGCATCCGGCAGCAGCGGTTCAAGCATCCTCACGATCTTCTTAACATCTTCTCTGCGAAATCTATACTTCGAGTAGAAGATGCGATCGTTCTGCTGGAACACAGAGGAAGGATGGATGCGTTGATAACGGACGTTCCTCTGGCGCTGCTGACGGACGTTGAAGAAGAGCGAAGCCATCTAAACATGTTATTTAGATAGTGATTCCATCCTAGTTTAGACGACGAACACGGCAATCAACTTGTTCGGGTTCTATTAAACTGTGCGCTTGCATTTGAGTGCAAGTGTTGAAGAACTTGCACTCAAGACAAAACGTTATGTGCCGCGCAGGACTCGAACCTGACATGTGTGGCACAACACGCTGCCCTCTTCACCACTCTACCATTTTGGTTAGAATTCAAGTCTTGAGGCGGCTATTTCTACCTTTCACAGCGAAATAAGCATGCATGATCCGATGATATGGGTAAGCACATTCATTTGCTTACTTATATAATACCTGTATGTTATACAACACGATTATAAAACACTATGAAAAAATGGAAGAATGAGTAGAAGACAAACAAGAAGCAATAGTAAAGTGCAAAGAAAATCTGCTGCCGTGTATGGATCTTAGATAAAGTGCAAAGAAAATCTGCTGCCGTGTATGGATCTTAGGCGGCTGTGCCGGTCACTGCCGCAGAATTGCTTTTCCGATAAAAGTCAAATTTTTTTGGCCATTGCAAAAACCTTTTCGCTGCCCCGGGACTGAACCTCCGACCAGGGCCCGGCACAAATCGTCTGGAAGCAGGCTGGACTTCGTTTTTGGAGTAAAAAGCAAAAAAGATATCGTTTTTGACGAGTCGCGGCCGAGCACCAAGAATAAGCGCCATTTATTCGAATACAAGCTTTTCGGGCAGGTTATCACACGATTGGCATGCTCTATCGTGCATGACGAAAAGTGCGCGCTATTTGAAAGCAAGGCTAAAATAAACAATTTGCTTGTTTACAGCGCACAAAGAATCATATGACATCGAAATTGAACTATATGCATAGAAAATTATATGCGGAAGGATTATGCAAAAAGATTTGAAAACTTATGTGAAGTAATACCTTTTCCAAAATTAGATCGTCTACAGACGATCTGAGATCGTCTGGAGTATATATTTTCGTCACTTCACATAAGTTTTCGATCTTTTCAGCATGGACGAATTTCCCGGTCAAAAATCTATCCCTGAGCATGAAAAAGTTTTCATATCACTGCCTTTCCTTTGTTTTTTGCCTCAATTTCTACATAAATCGCTTTGTTAGCTATCGCGCTCCAAACTCTTGTGGATGCGTATTATTCAGCTCTAATTTGGATTTTCACTCGTATCTCAGTTTATTCTTCCATACTAGTAAATCTTTCTTGTTTTCGTCATCCCGTAAGTAGGTAGGTCAAAGAGGACTTCGTAAAACTTCCGGAATTCAGGGGGGGGCTTCGTTTTCCGGAACCCTAGAAACCGACTCGTGCCGGGCCCTGCCTCCGACCCTTCAGACAGTACGCCATCCTCTCCACCACTCTACTATAGCACTCAATTCCGTTCCGTCCATAACGGCTATTGGAGCGTATCACAATGGCTGCATGATAGGGTATGGATTTTCCAATCAATAAGTCGCCGGATGCTGGACTGAGGCGCGATGAGTCAAGTCGCGAGATCGCGTCAAGAGAGATGGGGGGTTTACTACGGGCCATTGTGTTGCCAGAGCAAATTCACATGAATGCTTCTATCAGTAACTTGAATAATTCATCTGAGCAAAAAAGAATTGTGATAGTGTGTACCTACTGCACATGCCGCAGCCCGATAGATTGCGGCACTTCTATATTGATGGAAAATGCGCCCAGTATGATGCCTTTGGATTTAGAATTGGTCCACTTTGAACCGAGATGTGGCGATGCAACTCTTTCGGTGAACTCAACTCCGTCGGCAAAACTTTTGTGGCCACACCTAAGTTTGGCAACCACCGCCTAAGCATGACGGTCGCCGCGGTTTTATTTTTTTTTCACGAGCGGTATTGTACTTTGTCTCTGGAGCAAGATGAAATCAAAACTAGCACAAAAAGAAGTTATTAAAATCCTAAAGAGCTTATATGGGAAAACTAACGATCTCAGCACTTGGCACGCATCGTAAGCTGCAGCATCACAACACAGATTCGACGCCTCAGCGTCAATTCCGTCCAGAGAAACAGAGGTTGGGACGCGCAAAACATTAGAGACCTGCTAAATTTCGAATAAAAATTCACAGATGAACACCAAAGAAGTGCGTTGCCATAAATGATGAGTTCGCGCCGTTCCTTGACTTATGCCAGTTTGACCTACTACTCCGAGTCAGGAACCCTAACTCACTCAGCCATTGCATGTCACGCGGTGGTGGATGGTCTCGCCCTCAAGTTTAAGGTGAGCTATTCGACCAAGATGTCGTTCCGTAGAACTTTTTGTCTTTTTTCTGCGAGAAGATAAGGCGTTTGGGCAGGTAGATCTCATATGTTACTTACTCACAGGCTCTGACGAAGGCGAGTTGGCCGGATCGTTAGCCTAATAAACATTATAACGATAGTGGTGAAGGCTCAGATATTTCACCAAGAATACTGTTAATATGCCAAGATTCACCGAAAGTCAAGTACAAGCTGCTGCATGACGAAGGCGCATTATCTTTAGGCGCAAACGCGCTTTATTAGCCGTAGAGCGCATGAGGCGCAGGATTTGCAACGGTGTTACGCACGCGCCCGCTCAGCTAATACTGCCTCTGCGCCTTCGTCATGCAACAGCCTTTACAAAGACAAAGTAGATTTAATGAAAAGTTGGAATAGTTTTTTTTCAAACTTTTACTTTCTGAAATTCAGTCCGCTAATTAATTGTGTTAGTATTGTGTTGTAGGTCCTTCTATCTTGAAACCTAGACATGTTATAGACAGTTTCTTTATCTTTCCGTGCCGTACAGGTTTGTTATGGTAGTAACTTTATTGCCTTAAGGGCCGAGCACACTTCAAGCGATTTGTCGATTTGGCAGTATTCCATATGGCAAATCTTGTAACTCACAGGATTGAGTGATCTGCCCCTACGGAAAGATCGGAGATTGTACAAAATGTGGTGTCGTTTACGAGATCCAACGTTTGAAGTGCTCGGCCAGTTACATTGGTAAGATCGGCCGACCACTGAGCATAGGTATAATTGAACACCTGACTAGTAAAAGAAAAAAAGCATGATGAGCTCACTAGGGAAGCATAGGAAGATGGAGCACGGCGATATTGACTTTAATGTAAGGTGCGCAATATTGGACTTTGAAATACAAATTTCTGCACGAAAGGCTTTGGAAGCATCGTTCATTCTTGTACTCCAAAATCCAATGTAATTCAAAAATGAGCAGTAAGAACGAACAATCATTTACAACCGCTTATCTCATGCCGTATCTTCTGTTTTGCAAGCTGTAGATTGTCTGTAGATATATTTATTTATTGATACACTGTTGTGCACAGTGCGCCAGTACAAAGACACGAATGCAACGACAGACAAAGACAGTAATGAAACGAAATTGTGACATGCTCAACACCCTAGAGAAATTGTGGAGAGTAACTCCTTTTAGGCCTCTGACGACGTGTGTGGCCGAAGCATAAGGCAATAAAGTTACTACCATAATAAACCTGTACGGCACAGAAAGATAAAGAAGCTCTGTTAGTATTCATATGAGTAAACCGAACGAGTTAATGAGTGATCCAAAAGTAACGGTTCACAAGGCACCAAGAGGATAAATGTAGTTTTCTCGCACATAAAAATAGATAAGACATCCAATTCTTGGGAGATGTTAGTACAGAACAAACTGGTCGATGTGTATAGATGGGCACCGTCGTACGGCATTACTTTTATATGCGCTTGATATAAAAGTTGGTTACATTAATTATTTCCAACTTTGAGCAGCACCGCCGCAGCAAAACAAATGAGGCAGCCAAAAATATCTGTGCCGCAATAGGTGAGGGAACTGCCACCAAATCCAGGATAGCCTAGTAGTTCCAGTTCTTTGCAACAGAAGATGTATTCAGCGATGAGTATCAGGAGACATCATTTATGCTCTCATCAAGCTGGTTAAAAATGTTCACCTCACAAAAAAATCTGATAAAGCTTTTCAAGCTCTATTCATGGTAAGCAAATTACCTCGAATTTTCTTCATTTTAGGACTTTGTGGGCCAAAACGTACATTTAAGCCTTAAATCTGCGCCAAATATCGCAGTTTTTCAAGCAATCTGCTCCCTCCCCCTTTTCATATAAAACGAAAATAATGAGAAGTATCTGCATAATCCAGTGATTTTTGCAAAGAGCTTGGAAAGCCCTTTGGAATGGTATGTTAGTTTTCCATGACCCTCGGGGTACAACTATACAAATCCGGATGGTACTCAAGAAAGTCTGTCTGACTTTTTTTAGGAAGTCGCCCGAAGCATTTGGGAGAGGAGATGCAAGGTGCTGTCAGGATAACATGTGAAGTTTAATTTATGCAAAAAATTTACAGTGGATTGTTTTTCGTCGAATAGAAAAAAATCTCCTTGGAATTGGAAAAAAGTCGAGTCTCCATTTACTTTTCACCCTAAGGCAAGGGACATACCTCACGCGATTTCAGTCGCCATGCGATCTGGCAATTTGCCAGATGTTTTCAAATTCAGTACTGGTAGACCCCGAATGTACAGCATGTATAACTTTCGTAGGTTGATAAAATGCCCCATCTTCCGTACATTCAGAAGCCCCCTACGATGGGTTATGAACGTTTGGAGTATTGCCAAATCGCGTCGCGACTGAAATCGCGTGAGGTGTGTCCGAGGCCTAATAGTTTATCAGGTGGTGGGTTGAGACGATTGGTTTGAAAGCTAGAGTGCCACTGATAAATTGCTGACCTAGTAGCTCATATCCTATTTTATTTTCATCCGACCCAATTCGGTTGAACAGTATGATTAAAGCTCCAGGAAAATTTTGCATCATAAGAAGCTACCCTTGCTTCGCGATCAAAGGTGATCGGATGCACGAAAATAAAAATTGGGAGATTAGTATGCCGTAAGCATCTGGACAAAGGTCGCTTATATGGAAGAAGTGTGTGGAAAAAAAGCTTACGACATTTATCATCGCTATTTTGGTTTCGTAATGTTATGAAAGTAATGAATGAATTGATAAGGAAGCAGAAG